ATTCCGTTAGTGAAAGTTGATTGGAAAAACCATGGTGGCATTTATGCCACTTGGGAAAGGGAAGACGATATGATAAAGAGATATCCTGAATTGTTCCCACTGAATCCAGTATTCTTCCAAAATGAAGGTAATTTGAGTTTGGAGGACCAAACTCTTTGTAAGGAGGGGAGACTGTGACAACCCTCACCACTGTTTACTGATAATACCACTGATTACTGCTAAACTGTGACTGAACATGATTAAGCATGTTAAGTGACTGATTGATTGAGTGTATTAGTTTAAATGCAAATCTATCTGTTTGACTGCTAAATGATCTGTTCATGTTTTATGCTATAAACTGCAAATTGAAGGCCTTATCGGCGGCCGAATCCAAAACTGATTAGTGTTTTATGCCAATTAGAATTTATGTGATGGTATGATAAATTTAGTTGAAATTTGATTTGGTATGATTAAATTAGATTAAAAAGTTGTATTACATCAATTTGAGTTATTTACCAAATTGCCATTAGTGGATAATGCTAGGCCATCTATTAGTCTTGATTTACCTAGACTTGGCATCACATTTCTTCAACCATTTTGGAGACAAAACTGACTAGAGAGAGAGAGAGAGACTTAGGAGAGAATTGTTTTCAACAAGTTTTGCTAGGAGAATTAGAAGAATTGAAGAGAGGATTGCATATTTGATCTCCTACATCTTGAATTGAGGACCGAAGGTAGAGAATTCATCTTCTCCATTATGAATTTGAGTTACTTCTTGCATGGTTCGTGGTGAATTAGATTTTAGAGTCAAGATTTGGTTTAAAATGTTGATTTGAGTAGTAATCAATGCATGCATGTACAAAGTCTTGCATTTTGAGATTGTTCTTCATGAATTTCCACATGCATGTCCATACCTTGACTATAGTACATGAATTCATCATGTTTTTGAGTGAATTGACTCATTTGCTCTTGTATTGGAAGCTTTGAAGTTGATTAAATTCATGCATGTTGCATGTTGCATGTTCATCATGTTCTTGAAGTTTTGTTTGAAAATGGGTTCAATTGGACTACCTTTGGGCTTTGATCGTGCAAATTGTTCTTTGAAACATGTCATATTATGAGTTTTGAAGTGTTTTCTAGAAAATTAGCCCAAAAGGATCGAATTTGATGCTTTAAATGTTGAGTTTCATGCTTGGAGACAAATCTGGAAATTCCAGATTTTGGATCCACGCTTAAGCGAGGAACTCCACACTCGAGCGTACACTCTGAGATCATGCAGTCCGCTCGAGCGAGAAAAGTAGCGCTCGAGCGTGAAATGCATGTATCCAGTACTTTGCATGTGTTTACAGTCCACTCAAGAGAGGGAATGCACGCTCGATCGAGGCCTTGTGTCTCACGCCCGAGCGGGGGTCGAACACCCATCGAGCGTGAATTTCATGCATCCAGTACTTTTGCAGTCTGCTCGAGCGAAGAAAGTCACACCCAAGCGGAGCTCCTTTGTCTGCATGTCCGCTCGAGCGTAGAAAGCCACGCTCGAGCGAGACCCCTATTTTCTGAAAATTCTGAAAAGTGTTTTAAAGTGCATCTTTGCATCCCCATTCTATTCTAGGCATTCCTAGGCCTAGTTTAAGGCATCTTAATGAGGATAATGCTATAAAACCACACTGAGTCAGATTAGGGACTAAGTTATTACTTCCTAAACCTGCAACTTAGTGTGTGTTCGTCCTGTAACTGTGTAGGGTTGGCATCCGAGGACGCTCACTAGCCTATCTGTAGCCCAGAACTCTGTGAGTAACAATGTTGTAAAGATATGTTCAATCATGAATATTTTCTGAATGATTTACTGCACTGCTTTCTGAAATGATATTTCTTACTGAATGAATGCTTGTCCTATTTGCGAACTGTATTCGTGGCATCCATAGCAATTTACTGTTACTGTACTGTACTGCTACTGTCACAGAGATCTCTATCGGTTCCTGTAATGACCCCAAAAGTCATCCTTATTTAATTAGGGGTTAATGTGTTTTAATTCAACTATATCTATTGGAATTGAGAATGTTTTTATCTTATTTTGGGGTACTAAATGAGGTGGTGGTATGATGGTAAAGTAAGATTGGACCAAGGAATGTAATCCGGATAGTTATTCTACGATCAGCCGTCACTCATTTGCCCTTTTCTTTTTCTACACTTTGAATTTGAATGTGAGGTTAGAACCATTGGAAAACTTATTTCTGGGGCTTCAATTTGGACACAAGAACGACCTAGAACGGAGTCCCGATGAGAGAGTTATACCCGTTTGAAGTTTTTACATCTGTGTTGGAAGCAGAGCCACACGTGCGGGGAATAGCGCCGCACGTGCGGGCTGTGCGGGACAGCAGCTCAAAAACAAGATTTTTGGCCCATTTCTTACATTTTCTTTTCCTTTCTTCTTCTCCCCTCTTCCATGTCCGAAACCCTAGCTCCCAAAACCTTGATTTCCTCCACTTTTATCAACAAATCCACCATGGATCTTGCATCAAGGATGGAGAACAAGAAAGGGTCAACATTTCCAACCGATTGAAATTCGAATTTTTGGAGAATTCTTCTCAATCCTTGCTCCTTTGCCTGATTCTTGAGGTAGGGGTCCTTATTCCCTTTCAATATTTGCATTCATGGATGGAATTATGGAATTTTGTGTATATACAAACAAAATCTATAGTTTTGAGCATATTATGTCCAACTTGAGAATTGAGGGTTTAGAGTTGGAGATGTTGGAAGTTAAATTGGTGGGTTAAAATGATGGATTGTGACTCCTAGATGTATAATCATTGGGAAAATTGGAATAAAAAGTAATGGGTTAATAAGTTTGTATGTTTCTTGAAATTTCAATATTTTCTTGAAACCCTAGGTTGATTAATGATGATAACCAATGAATTGGCCCAAATTGAAAGTAGAGTAATGAAATTGAGGTATGGAATTATATGTGTTCAAGTTTAATTGGAATTTGGAAATGTTTGAAAATTATGTTTAAAATTTGCGAATGAGTTATGTTATAAACATTGTAATTCATGCTGTAATGTGAAGAGAAAATTGGGGAAATAATCCATTAATGATATGAATGATATGAACTCGGTTTTGGAATGTTGAAATGGAATTCAAGGATTTATTTTGAATTATGTTAAATTACAAATGGTATTGATGAACTAAGTGATATTGACTTTGTTAGATTATGTTGTGTTGACTCATAGTGAATTGATTGGTGTTGTACTATGATGAATTATGTTTGAATTATGTGAATTGTGTAGGGTCAGCTACAGGGGCGGATCAAGCACCTGAACGCTGTGAGTAGTAGTACTTTGATGTACCTTTAACCTTTTATCGTTATTGATGTTAAATCTTCGTCATAAGAATTATGCTGACATATATGTTATGTATGCTATATGAGAAACACTGTGACATTATGGAAACTTCAAAAGAGTTTGTGAAGTTATGTGAGAAATATTATGAAATTATGAAAACATCAAAAGAACTTGTGAAATATGAAGTTATGTGACCAAGGGTCATTTGTGAAGATCAAACCTATGTGGCCAAGGGCCGACTTGTGACTCATGAAGCTATGAGGCCAAGGGCCAAATTTGTGAACTTGTGAATCCAAAGGGCCGAAGGCCGATGTGATAAGTTATGAATCTATGAAACCCAAAGGCTATTGTGAATGTGTGAACCCCTCAGGACAAGGGCCGAACTGTGAAATTGTGAAACCAATAAAGTCATCTGTAATCTAATGAAAATGTGCTTACTTTTCGTTACTCCTTATCAGGAATGTCCTGTTAACTTTACGTTAATTATGTCAACTCATGGGAATGGTGTAACGGTTACCATTAGAACTCTGTTAATTACAAGGCAAGGCAATTATGTCAACATATAAGAATGATTGAACAAAGGTGTATGCTATTGATTAATAGAGCACGTAAAGTAAGTCATTTACCCAAAAGAATTTATGTTCATTCTTGAAGAATGGATTCTGAGTAAATATAAGAGTAGCTATGTGTATCCATATGAATTGAAGTTATTTTGCTATGTTGCTTATAACTTGGAAGTTATTCAGAATCTACGATATAAGTGCAAGTTTAGCATCATTGTGTGACCCTCATGAGAATGTGAATTAGTCTCTCATTGTTAAGCGTATGATAATGACATGATACAATAAGAAATGCTCTAGTCATGATATGTTCCGTTTGAATTAATGAATGATGTTCAAGTATGTTTCAGGCATGTTTCCAGTATGTTACAAGTTCAAGTATGTTCAGGTATGTTTCAAGTGTATGTTACAAGTTTAAATATGCTACAAGGTCAAATATGTTTCAAGGGCTTTATGCCAATCTTTCAAGGGCTTTATGCCAATCTTACAAGGGCTTTATGCCGCATGTTTCAAGGGCCTTAGTGCCATATGTTACAAGGGCTTTATGCCACATGTTTCAAGGGCCTTAGTGACATATGTTACAAGGGCTTTATGCCACAAGTTTCAAGGGCTTATAGCCACCATGTTTCAAGGGCCTCATGCCACCATGTTTCAAGGGCTTATAGCCACCATGTTTATGTTGCAAGATTGAACTTAAGGCCGTTATGTATTGCTATGTGAACTCTACATCTTTATATGCATTGCTATGTGTTATGTTTCAAGTTAAGCATCGTTTTATTTATGTATTACTATTCACTGACCTCGGCTCACTCTCTGTTATGTCTGTTTCTGTAGGTCACCAATTAGGTGATCAGTCCCAGCCGTGACGCCGCTTTCTTTTGTCAACCTTCGTATGTCCAGGCACTATACACAGCCATTGATTTTGTTAAGCTGATAAGATGTTGGCTTGCTTTTTAGATTTGAAAAGATCCACCGAGGTCGCCTGTGGGTGTGGTTGTTCTACCGTCGCTAGAACAAAAATAGGGGTAGAACCAATCCCAGGCCCACCCGGATGCAAAGGCAAGTCCTCCGGTATCGCCTGTGAGCTTCCCGCCGACTTCTCAATCCCCCCATGGGACTCCCTTCAAACCCGTCCCCGTGGTACTTCAGCCCGAAGCCATGGACCATATTGCAATCTCACCTCCTCCCTATGTGCTCCTTCCAACAACCTGTTCCCACAATCGTGAACACTATGGCCAAGCAAGCCACAATGAAAACAAAAGTTGGGTAGCCTCTCATACTGGAGCGTAATCCACACCGGTTCTTGACCACCTAGCGCCAATTTTAAACCCCGCCGAAGGGGTTTATCAATATTGATCTCAATGCGAATATGAAGAGCCCTGCCCCAAGCAATACCTCCGTCACCATACTCCATATCGACAAACTTTCCCAGGGTATTTCCCAGTAAAACCCCCACATCTCGAGTCATACTTATAAGAGGGAGATTAGATGCATGGACCCAAAACTCCATAGTTGAAAAAGTGATTTCCGACGGCTGTAAAGCCCTATTAAATTCTTTCAACATGACCAATTGTTTATCAAAACTCCAAGGGCCATTAATCATCACCCTACGCTTGTCAACAATATGGCCAAACTGTATCAAAACTAAGTTATCACCAAAAGTCTTGAACACTACTCCTTTAGATGCCTTCCAAACTGATGTCAAAGTGGACCGCAGCGCATCCATATTAAATGGACGCATGGTGAGAAGTTTACCCACCAAGCAAAGCCCTGCATTCGCCTCAGTGGAGTGAATATGAACCTCATCCACGACCACCTCTGCTTCCTCCTCCTCTGTCAAGACAAGCCGCCATGCCAAGTCTTCAATAGAGTCCGCCATTAACAACCCACCAGAGAAAACAACAAGATATGAAAACCTACTAAGAAACACCCCTCACTAAAGGGGAACGAGCCTTGTATAGGACAAGAGAGAAAACTTCTACCAGAGAGGAGACTAGAAGATTGAATGTTATGTTTAAAGATTATCGAAAATGAATTTTTGAAATTCTATATATATTTTTTATGTTGAAAAGTTTTCCTATTTTATAATTTAGCTTTTCTTCTACTACTTGTGCTTCGCTTTGTTGAGGCGCGCACCTCGCCTCATGCCTCGTGCTTAGGCTGGAGACATTATCGCCTCGGTGCGCCAGCCTTTTAAAACATTGGCTCATATATTTTTTTGTTGATTAGTATAATTTTATTAAAGATGAGGTACCAAGGAGTTATACTAAGGGAGTGTTTGATAACCTGATTCATCACTTAAAACTAAATGTATTAAGTGATAATCAATTAATCTTGTTTGATAACCACAATTGATATCACTTAAAAATTTAAGTGCCTTCTAAAATGTAGGCTAAAATTTAAGAAAATTTTAAATAATATGAAACTTACTTAATTTTAACTCAATTTATAAATACTAAACATAAGCATCAATATACATTATTATAAATTCACTACCACCACTGTTATCACTGCCGCCACCACTATTACCACTACCACCACCATCATGCCACCAACACCACAACCACCACCATCATGCTACCGCCACTACTACCATGTCACTGCCACAACTATCACCACCATCACCGTCATGCCACCACCACTACAACTACCACCACATTCATCACCATTGTCATTGTTGCCATAAGTACCACCATCATTTTACTACCATTACCATCGCTATTGTCGCCGCCACTAACACTACCACCACCACCACTATCACCACCATTACAATATAAAAATTAAAAAAAATAAATTTTAAATTTGATCTTATACATATCAAACAACTTGTTTTTAATTCAACAATTGAAATTTTATCAAACAATTTTTTATCTTAACAAATTCAGTATTCAATTTTCAATACTTAATTTTAAATTTTTAGTTTTATCAAACGCCTCTAACTATACATCAAAATTTACTCAAAAGTCTCTATAAAATCCAAAAATTTACCTATGTATTTACATGTGTATGAAGGCATGTATTTTGACTTGCTTTGACAATCAGAACCTGAAGTGGATGAAGTCTTGTAAATGGGTATGGTTCTTAAAATGGTATAAATTTAGTAATCTTGAAGCTGAATATGTAAACTCTGTACTAGAATTATATTAAAATCCTTAATCATGAGCTGTGGTTGCCAGAATACATGCTGCATGCTCTTATTGGAGATAAATATTTTCATATTTGATTTAGGTCATTTGCGGTTATCTGCAACAAAATGGCTGGAGATTAAGAACATCTCAGGAGTTGGAGGGAAAAGATAGTGGTATGTATTTTTGTACTGTGGCTGATAATACTATGGCTGCCATAAATATATACCACTATCAGAACCTGTGGTATGTATTTTTGTACTGTGGCTAATAATATTTTCAGATTTGTATTTTTGTAATACATACCACTATCTTTTCTCTCAAACTCTTGCGGTTATCTGCAACAACATGGCTGGAGATTCAGAACATCTTAGAGTTGGAGAGAAAAGATAGTGGTATGTATTTCTGTACTGTGGCTGATAATACTAAATCAAATATGAAAATATTTATCTCTAATAAGAGCATGCAACATGTATTATGGCAGCCACACTACAAAAATGCATACCACTATCTTTGTACTGTGGCTACCATAATACATGTTGCATGCTCTTGTTAGAGATAAATATTTTCAAATTTGACTTAGGTCATTTGTGGCTGTCTGCAACAAAATGGCTGGAGATTCAGAACATCTCAGGAGTTGGAGAGAAAAAGATAGTGGTATGTATTTTTGTACTTATTTATCTCTGCTAAATCATATTCATATTTTTAAAGTTGATATATGCACTAGGCATGTTTTTATGATCTTGTCTTCCAAGGGAAAAAAATTAAAAACTGTTTTTATTTTGTATATATTTTTTTCAATATATGTATTTAATTTTTTTTTTTTTTGGTTTTTTGAAAAGTAAGAAATGTTAACTAAACTAAGCACCCCATAAGAAAATTGCTTTTGCCCTCAAGTTTTTTAAGTGTTATGTTGTCCTTGTGTCAAGATGTTCACTTGAATTAGTTTTGCTTGAGAATGCTTTCTATGTCACTTGTTGTGGGTTAGTATGGAACTTTGCTAGCTTTGATAAATTGCTCTGAAAAGTTTTTGTCAAGTCAAGTAAGGAACATAGATCCTCTAAAACTTGGGTTAGTTTACTACTATATTATATTTGTGGACCATATCAAATAATGTCTTGTGCTTGTTGGCCGTGGTAAGTAGGAATGGCAACGGGTCGGGGGAGGGGCCGGGGATTATACTCCCTGTCCCCGATCCCCGATCCCTGAAGATATGAAATTTCCCGTCCCAGCCCCCGATCCTCGATGGGGAACCCATCACCCCCCCTGGGCCCCCGACTTCGATCAGGGATCGGGTATCCCCGACCCCGCCAAATCCCCGAATTACAAATTATTTTTTTTTTAAATTTAAACATCTTATTAACAGAATCTGTATATATTTTAAAATTAAAAGAAAACTGTACATCCCATAGCATAATCTGCAAAATTAAGAAAATCCCATAGCATAAAATTAAAAGAGAATCTGTAAAATTAAAAGAGAAATTGTACATATGTTAAAAATTTAAACAACCTATTACGAAAATCTGTAATCTGTACATATTTTCAATAATCTGTCAATACAACCATCAAACCCTAGTATATCGAAATCCCTAGAGAGAGAGAGAAAGAAAGAGATACCCTAAACAGTAGCGGTGAGAGAGGATGATTGACGGTGAGGTACGAGCAGCGGTGAGGGAGGATCGATGATGAGAGAGGATCGACGGTGACGGAGGAGCGACAGTCGTCGTTCGTTGTGTGAGAGAAAGAGGGGGAGGCGAAACCCTAAAGTTCTTGGCAACGGCGGAGAGAGAGAGAAAGTAGCAGTGAGGGAGGATGATCGGCAGTGAGAGAGGATCGGTAGTGACGAAGGAGCGGCAGCCGTCGTTCGTTGTGTGAGAGAAAAAGGGAGAGGTGAAACCCTAAAGTTCTTGGCAACGGCGGAGAGAGAGAGAGAGAGAGAGAGAGAGAGAGAGAGAGAGTAGGAGTGTTAGTGTTTTGTGTG